TACTTAAAAATAAAAATAAAATCTTTGGGGTGCCTGGGTGGCTCAGTGGGTTAAGCCTCTGCCTTCGGCTCAGGTCATGATCCCAGGGTCCTGGGATCGAGCCCCACGTCAGGCTCTCTGCTCAGCGGGGAGCCTGCTTTCTCCTCTCCCTCTGCCCGCCTCTCTGCCTACTTGTGATCTCTGTCAAATAAATAAATAAAATCTTAAAAAAAATAAAATCTTTAAAAGAGAGGGTATATATTTGGATCAGTCATATATACCCAGATATATCCTTAGATATCTGATCGCAACAAACTGTGACTTGGTCTCCAAGGCAAATTTCCTTTCCATCTGCACAGGGGCTGCTGCTTGACCTGGTTTCTGTGTGGTTTATACAGTACTTTCCCACTTCCCTTTCCTTTGAACTGGTATTCTAGTCTCGATATGCGAAAGTTTACTGTCAACTTTAGGATTCTAGAAGAATAAACCTGTGGGTAAAGTGGTTAATTACTCATTTAGGAGTACGGATTTAGCTGGCTTTATATTTCATAAAGATTCATAGACTGATGCCCCGGAAGATGAGCAGCTTCGTCTTAATCTAAGTACAGATGAGCTACCTGCTAGGTAGACCAAGAGTCTATCCAGTCCAATATTCTAACATACTGCTAGCTTACTTTAATTTATGGAAGACTTTCTATTAAAAGCTGACATTTATTATAATTTTAATTTACCCTTTGACAATGGAAGCTTAGGCTTAAGGATTATTGTAGTCTGTTCCCGTTGCTATAACAAAATACCAGAGACTGACATTTGTTTTCTCACAGTTCTGGAGGCCGGAAGTCCGAAGTCAAGGTGCGGGGATTGTTAGGCTCTGGTGAGAGCCCCCCTTCCTGGCGTGCAGGCAGTGAGTACCTGCGTGTAGAGAGCGAGCTCTGGTATTGATTCTGAGGACATCAGAATGGTATCCATCCACCCTACACCTCACCTAGACCTAATTACCTCCCAGAGGCCCCACCTTTAAATATTATCACATTAAGGGGTAGAGCTTCAACAGATGAATGGGGGGGGGGGTTCCAGTGGGGAGGACAAAAACCCTTCAGTCCATAAACTGATTAAACCACTTCCCTATGGTTACTCAAAGACTCCAGTAGCAGGGCAAATGCTGACTCCAAGCATTGCTTTATTTTTGCTAATAATTTGTCTTTATTGCTTTTTATACATGGATACCCAGACAGTTAGCATATTAAAAAGCAAAATGTTGCTAGTTCTCATTGATTATTCCCGAATTTATTTAGCAAAACATGAATCTCTCCTTCATGTTTATTTTTCCTATATGTTTTTCCATATTTCTCAACTGTTTGAGTGAAGGCAAACAATACAGGGTCTCTCTCCCTCTCACTCTTTAAAGTTTTACCAGAAAAAAAAAAAAAAAAAAAAAAAAAGGACTAGGTTCTCGGTGCTTCTGGCAATTTTATTCTAACACAAGAAGTCCCCAGATTGTAATTCTGATAAGTATTTCAGTTCTTTCTTGAAAAATTAAATTCACAAAACAATTGATTATCAGTTATAAATGGCAAAAACACCATCTGGCTTTCAAAATTGGTTAAATCCATGTAGCAAGGGGAAAAAATGTTGGAACTTGTCGTTGGCGAGGAGTTCTGGTCCACGAAGCAGAAAATGACGAGCTTTACTATGAGAAAGACAGAGTAGGCATAACTTGTACTTAGCGGCTGCGGGAATTTGATACGTTCTTCACATGTTCCATATGTTAAATCGCTTGGCGAGATCTTCAGTGTGAAAGAGCTGAGGGGGGGGGGGGGGGGAAGGGGAGCGTGGCTAGTGTATCGGGTAGCAACAGCTTAATCCTAAATTTTCAGCTGTGGGTCTTTCCATACAGACCAGGGCTAAAGATGTCCCACGACTGGGGACGTGGGTGTTAACCAGGTTCCTGAAGCTTGTGTCGCAGGTGGCAGTTTTGGGGTGGAATTTCTAAAGCTATGTGCATCCCTCTGGTGAGGTAAGTCACACAGCATTAGCATTTCCTACAGAAATGTCCCATATTGTTCTTTGCCAATTGGAAATTTGAGTAGGTGTTCATTTGATGTGCCAAGAGAATGAAGGGAGATGAAAACACTCCACATCTTCCAATGTCCCCATACTGTGTTCCTAGTGTGGGAGGCTTGGGGCCTAACTAGACTCTCGTGGAGATTCAGCCTCATAAGGAATGCTTTTCCTTAGGAGTGTAATGCAGTCCTGTTATCTAAAAAAATGTTTCTCCATTGCTGGCATGTTTTTGCCTTATGTTAAAAATGTAGCTATCCGATGCTTATTATTCATGCATTATAATGTAATGTTTATTCATTCACTTAACAAATATTTGTTGAGACACAGTATAGCATAGTGGTTAATTGTGCAAGACTTGTCTACACCTTAAAAACTTTGACCTTGGGGCGCCTGGGTGGCTCAGTGAGTTAAGGCCTCTGCCTTCGGCTCAGGTCATGATCCTGGGGTCCAGGGATCGAGCCCCGCATCGGGGTCTCTGCTCGGTGGGGAGCCTGCTTCCCCCCCCCCTCTCTGCCTGCCTTTCTGCCTACTTGTGATCTCTGTCTGTGAAATAAATTTAAAAAAAAATCTTAAAAAACAACAACAACAACAACAACTTTGACCTCAGGGCAATCGCTTAATCTTTCTAACTAAGTTTAAAAAATATAAAATGGGAGATAATAGTATGTGCCATGGGGATTGTTCCAGCTATTAAATGAGATTGTGTATGCAAAATACTTAATAAAAACAATAATTGCAAGGCTAATAATAATAATAATAGCACATACCAATATTACACTGAGCTAGGTGCTCAAGTTTCTGGCATATAGGACCTTACTTTATAGTTTACACATCACTTTTTTTTTTTTTTTTTTTTTTTTAAGATTTTGTTTTTTTGTTTGTCAGAGAGAAAGAGCACACAAGCAGGGGGAAGAGCAGAGGGAGAAGAAGGCTTCCCACTGAGCAAGGACCTCCATGCGGGACTCCACCTTAGGACCCTGGGATTATGACCTGAGCCTAAAGCAGACGCTTAACCGACTGAGTCACCCAGATGTCCCTACACATCACTTTCAACATACACATAGCCTCAGATTTTTTAATCCTGATTTTGGCGGAACTCTCCGCTCTGCCTTTGGTCTGTCCAGGTAGCTGTACTTCCAGAGGTGATAAGACTAGGTAGGACTTTGCAGATTGGACCTTATCCTGGTGACCACACAGTGATGGTTTCCTTCCTCATGTAGCACCATGTGCGCGCTGGAGCTTTCCTGACTTCTGGAGATCTGCCTGTAGTTCATGCATCAGGGCCTGTAGTTACAGAGCAGAATATCCAGGGCTGTGAAGACAGGGCAGTCTTGAAATTAGTTTATGCATAATGGATAATAGGAGGCTGTTTTTAAGTGTAACTCATTTGGTGGGTTGGCAGATTTTGACTTCCTTTTTGATATGTAATATTTATTTATTTATTTATTTATTATTTTATTATGTTTTTAGCTAGACGAGGACAGAGGGCCAGGCAAGTCATTCGGTGCAGCTCCTCTAGACTACAGCAATTTACATGCAGTAATCTCTTGGTCATTTAGCCACAGATAATTTGTCATGGTTTGTTTTAGCTGTTGTGATATTGATATTTATTATGCAAATTGTATTTCCTACATCTTATTGTTCTGCATTCTATGAATACTTAAATTATTATAAACCTCTACACTTAATATGGCTCGTCCTTCAATTTGATGCTTGAGCAACAGAGGGTCAGAGCGCATACGATCTTCTAGAGGGGAAGAAAATAAGTAATTAAAAAGCAGACAAACAAGAGAGCCGGCTGCCTGGTTGAAAAGAAAGCAGAGGCAATTTCGGAGAGAGCGAGTCCTCAGAAGCAAATCATTTCAGCCGGGAGAGCCTCTCCTAGAGATACGGAAAGCTCAGAGCACCTGTTGGTCCCCAGCCGCCTTAGGAGGTACTGGAGGCGTAGAGAAGGAGGGAATGGGTTTGAACCCCGAAGGAGGAAGATGGCAGACCCCATCTTCACACACACACACACACACACACACACACACACACACACACACACACAC